CCCCGGGTGACACCCCGCCGTGTCATCATCGCGCGTGTGTGTGACGCCACGCAGTGACACCTGATTGACGCGGCCATCTGATTGATGCCTGCCGGCGGCCATCTTGCTGATGGACACCGGCAGAGAGAGGAGGGGACGTTCACTCGGCGGGATGAGGTATGCCGCAGGGTCCCCTCCTCTTTCCTGACACTGTCAGGCTCTCAGTCCATGACCGAGTGCCCGACTTTTTAGAGGGGGTGTCACCAAAATAACTGTCAGTGATTTTGGTGTCACCCCTGCATTGGTGTCACCTGGGTGCGGGCTGCACCCCCCGCTTGACGACACTGGGTGGTCAGCAGTAGGGATGCACCGATATATCGGCCGCCGAAACGTATTGGCCGAAAATGACACTTTTGGCATAATGCTGAAAGTGCCATGTTTCGGCCGATACATCGGCGCATCCCTGCTTTCTCTCCTCCCCGTGTGTGTCCCAGCGGGGAAGAGAGAAAGTGTCACAGGCGGCCGAGCCCTGCGGTAGGAGAGCGCTGTTAACGGCCGGTGTCTCTCCTCCCACACCGCTCGGCCGCCTATCACAGTCCGGCAGAGCGTTGTGTGGGCGTAGACAGGCCACGCTGTCACAGAAGGCTGAGCTCTCCTCCCTGCACCGCTCGATCAGCCTCCTGTGACAGTGTGTGTCAGAGAGGAGAGCAGGCTACAAACACTCAGTGATCAGTGATCGCTGAGTGTTTGTACATAATTGAAGCTATGGTATGTTAACTATAGCCTCAATTATGAATGAATGGGAAGTGATCTACATCACCTCCTGTTCATTCATAGTTGTAGTTATAGTAAATATACCATGTCCTCATGTTATCAATGAACAGGAACACTCATAGAGGATTCCTGTTCATTGATAACTGAGGCTGCAGAAAAAGAGATAGAGGACTTTGTGTCCTAAATTTCTTTTACTATTTTAAAAGGGAAATATCAGGGGCCCAATACTTCCCCGAAACCCCTAAAGTAAAGTAAAAAAAGTAAAAAAATAAAAATATTTATTAAAAAATGAATTAATACATACAAAAAAAATAAAAAGTTTATAAAAAATAAATAAAAATAAAATATTTAAAAAATTTGAAAAAATGTAAATAAAATTTTTTTTTTTTTAAATTTCAGTTTTGTTTTGGTTTTAAAATTTCCATTTCAGTGCACCCCTAGTCAGCAGCGTCACCAGAAACACTGGGAGATTTCTCATCCATTCCTATTCTGAAGACAACCCAAAATTTTAGATTTTCTTT